AGAACCTTTGGGGACGTGGCTCCAGTGGCGGATGTCAGGATCCAGGAAGTTTCCGGCACCGCTCACCACGTATCCAACATCGGACTCTTCAATGTACTGCAGGAGAAAGAAAAGGGAACAGATTGAGCTTAAAGAAGCACATATGGTAAATGTTAACATCCTTCTTGCACCGACCTGCAGATTGTGGTCATGTCCGCAGAGGTAGGCAGTGGCCTTGTATTTGACGAGCAGAGGATGCAGCCTCTGCAGCAGACAGTCTGTGGGCCCATGTTTGGACACGGACCACACAGGGTAGTGGCCCGCCACCAACAGGAAGTCTGCTTTGGAGCGAGCCAGCCTCTCCTGCAGCCAAGTCAGCTGACGGTTGGCGTCCACAACAAACATTGGCCCTCTGGGCTTCTCATCCGTGTGGTCATCAGAGTTACCACACAGCATTATAGTGTCGAGCATGATGATGGTCAGAGTCTTCCCAGTGTTGGGGATGTGAAAGTTCAGCTCATAATAGTAAGCAGGGAACTTCCTAATGACAAAAAACATCAACCAAGACAGTTGAAAATGCTTGAACTAGTTTAAAATGCATGTTTAAGCTGCTACTTACCATCTGTCAGATTTGCCACTGTACTCAATCTGGGCTTTGACATTCCCTGCATGATCGTGATTGCCAGCAAGAACATACCAGGGCACTCTGAGAGACTTCGCAGTGTACACGGACTCAAAAGTGTCCTAAGGGGATGATTTAAAAAGAAAGAATTATTGCCTTCCAGTGGTTGGAAAAGCACTCAAGCAAAAAGTAAAAATACAGTAGAGTGAAAATACACCATTACAAATGAAAATCCTGCAAGGAAAAAAATTCTACTTAAAGTAGAATGTGCACATCATGAGCAGCAAAGTGTACCGTTTGGTTAACCTTTAAAAGTAAAGCAGTTTTTCAGCAACATGTTACTGTTGTAGCTGCTGCAGATGGAAATGGCTTAAAGTACTAGTTTTAGATACACAGCGGCAGTAAACACAAGAGAAAAGAAAAACAGAAAACATGACAGAAATATAGTATTCATGTTTCACAGATTACTTTGACACATGATGCCCAGATGCAAACTTTTCACCATATAAGCTCTTTTGTGATTTTGAGTTACTCAAATATACAATTCTCCCCTTTAAAGTTTATTTTTTAATATATAAAAACTCCAACTGCATGTAAATAAACAGGTGGATGAAAACACCTTGCATGGTGTTAAACTCTCCACTGTCAAGTGTGCAAATTAAAAATCCCACTTAAGTACCAAAATGGAATAGAATACCTTTATTGTCACTATACACATGTACAATGAGATTACAATGAAGGTAGAAGTGGTTGCGGTTCTCTATTATACAATACTTGTTACAGTTGTAGCTGTGGCAAATTGATTTAAACAAACTTAACTACTTCATATTAAGTTTATTCTAAAAAGGCAAAAAAAAAAAAACCCCAAAAGATCAATCCATGGGAAAAAACAAAGTTCTGATACAAAAATCTCTAATCTTTGTAGACATTAAATCATTTGTACCTTTATTGATTAAACACTGTGAAGGAGTCATTTTCTCTGAAAGAGCAATGTGACAGACCACATATTTTTGCAAGATGTCCAAAACCTAAAATGATGAAAACCACTGGTTTAATGTTTAACAGGTTTGTTATTTAGTCAAAGCTTCATCTGAAAAGCAACTAAAGCTGTCAGATAAAAGTACTGAAATACAATATTCCCCATATTAATGTAAGAGCAAAAGTATAAAACAGCATAATATGGAAATACCCAAGTACCTCACAACTGTACTTAAGTACTGTACATAATTTACTTTCACCATTGCCCCCAGTGCTGCTTTATCAGCAGGTGTCTCTTACACATCAGGTTTACTGCACTGACCTTAAACCGAGGAGAATCCACGCTGTTCACACCTTTGTAGTAGAAGTTATCGCCAAGGGCCAGAACAAAGTCAGCTCCCAACTGCTCTGCTACTTTGCTCATTTCTCGAGCTGTAGCCTTCTGCACAGCGGTGGTGTACGGCGCATAATTCACTCCTCCCCAGTCTCCTATAGCCAGGAACCTGATGGAGGTTCTGTTCCCTAGAAGAGAACATACATCATAAAAACATATCAGGACTTCTGAATCTGAGAAGAACAGCCTCACAGTAAACAAGCTCGTAAAGGTCAATGTGAAGTAATACTCACTGCTACTTTCTCCCAGGTCTTCGAAGGCAGTAGGATAGCAGTAGGCCACAGGGATGGCAGCAATTAAAAAGGATAAAAGAGTGACTGCCATCTTTAAACACAAATAAAACACCAGAGTTTCTGTTAACAGCAAGAACTGCAGCCAGAATCAAAAACAAAAGTCAGAACCTGCATGAGCTAAAAAGAAGGAAGTGAAGCACGAAACATGAAAACCACAGCTACAGCTTACCATGTGGGCCTATGCTTCCTCTCTTCTCGCCTCCCTCCACACTAAACAATAGCACTGTCATGATTTTTTATGCCTAAAGCTGAGCTGTGATTGGCTGTAGCCTGAAACTGACATGTTCCAGCTGGACTCAATGGAAGCTAATCAAAGCAGCCATGTCTGTGTGTCATCAGAGGTCAAAGAAGATCAGCAAATCTATTAAATAGCTTCACAGATCACACGACTGTCATCAGCCTCAGCAGAGATGCCACAAAGTGAAACAGTAATCTAGCGCCCCCCCGTCAGAAAGAAAACAAAAGCAGGCTGACTCACAGAAAACACAGCTTGCATGTGTGAAGAGTTTAGGTGTCAGAGTGCAGAGATAATAGGGTGAAAGACAAAACACTCACAGCTGATAACTGGTTAGGTGAGCTCAGGGCGACACTCCCTCCGTCCTCACAGAGCTCTTACTCCTTGCCTTTTTATCGGCATTCCTGGAGGAGAGGCTGCAGGAGGACCAGCCCTGAGACACGCTGCAGGGGCATGATCGTTGCTCACACCCTGACTCAGTCTCGGGACCGGAGGGTCATCAGGACCACATGTGACCCGCAACGGTTATTATAGGCTGGTGTCCAGACTCCACTTTTTCCACTTCAGTGTTAATCACTGTTTTCCTTCTTCATTTTGTGCTTCCATCTTTTTCAATAAATCCACACTAAGAAATGTAGCCTATTGACTTTACTCGAGTAATCTAATGGGTCAGGTCATGAGCAAATCTTACATAATGTAGTCTTGTCATTTGTTTTGCAGCCAGGTTATCTGTATTTTATCTATTTTACTCGGCTTGTGTCATTTTAAATGCGAATAGGATGGCCTCTTCTCCATTTGATGAAATGAAATGAAATGAACAATACTGAAAAATAACAATACACACACATTGATCTGTTGCATAGCTAAAAGGTCACAGTGAAGCCACTGACAGCTGTGAATTTAAGCTTTGCAGACATTAGGTGCCAACAGAAGACATATTTTCATATTTGTGAAAGTATGAATTTAGTGTATTAGAAACTATAGATGACTTGTCTGTCTGCTCAACTTTTCTGAAAGACGTTATCATGTATTTGACAAGGAGGTTAAAGGGATAAATATGATCAAAATTGAAGCAACAAAGCTGAAATATGCTGATTTTTACTCATTGTGTCAGTGAAGCTGAAAAAAACCACTGTAATGCAACTTTGTAATGTCTTTTATTTAATAAATTACAAGATTGCAATGCTAAATCTGTGGAATGGCCCTTTAAGAGTAATTTGTGATTTTACAGTCAAGTCTGCAACTTGCCAGATATCAGTGTAGCTGTTCTGATCTTTGTTTATAGCCCTGTTAAAAATCCAGGTAATATGAGATGTGTTACCTTCCTTTTGTTGTCTCCATTGTTGCTGTGGAGCACTTTGTTGTTAAATGGATAAAGTTGTAATGTCTTCTGTGATGTGGTTTCATTTATTAAGACACAAAGAGAATTTCTGAAAGGACAAAAAAACTAAAACTAAATCAGTAAATATTTAATTTGAGCTCGTATTGGTAGACAATATTTTTATAGCAATGTTTTCCGCAGGCTGCAAGGTGGAGCAGTGGTTAGCACTGGTTAGCACTGCTGCCTCACAACAAGAAGGTTGCTGGTTCGTGTTCCGGTGAAGACACGTGCAGCATGGGTTCTCTCCGGGTTTTGGTGCGAGTGAGTGTGCTTGGTTGTCTGTCTCTAAGTGTAGCCCTGCAATAGACTGGCGACCTGTCCAGGGTGTCCCCTGCCTTCGCCCTGAGTCAGCTGGGATAGACTCCAGCCCCCTAGTGAGGATTAAGCGGTGGATAGATTATGGATAGAAAAAAATAACTCAAAATCAACGTTGCTAATCACTGCTATAATCAAGATTGTAATAGTACCAAAAAAGAAAGAATCGTTTTAGCATTTAGTAAATGAAATTTTGTTTGTTTATTCTATAAAAAAAAAACAATATTATGTAAACAAACTTGCATTTTGAGGCCTAAAGCCTAGAAAATAAGCACAAATTCTAGTTTAAATTTAGTCCTTACAACTGGACTAATGTTGGTTGGAGAAAGCAAAAAATAATACATGTATATTTTTATGGAAATGTTTTTGATGCAGATAATTTTGCTCGCAAGGATCTTGCATAACTTTTTGAAAGTGACTTCTGACCAATGAACCCAAGGAACCTTTCAACTCAAGTGCCCTAATTTCTGCACAGGTCACTGAGGCCTCCCGTCATCTCTGCTAATCACACAGTCAGTCACAATGACCTGCCTGGTCCAGTGCTATACTACATACATACCAGACTGGCTGCGCTGCAGAAACAATTTGCTGCACTGCAAAACGTCCTCAGTAACACTGATGTGAGGAATATCTCTGGTATTTTTTGAGAAGATCAAGTTGACCTGACTTCAACTGCTTCAAGTTCATAATCTGAGCTCAACTGTCCCACATCAGAGCATCATGCATTAAAGGAACTGAAAGAGTAAAAGCTAAAATCTCACCACACATTAACAACCTTTTGCCTGTAATTATCAAAACAATGGTCAAACTTTTCTCCAAAATAAGAGTCATTTATTTTTACAACAAACATTAGAGCATATTTAATAACACAGGAAAGAAATCTTTAGCGCAAAACTACAAGCAGCTTTAAACCGAAACCATAAAATGATAAAGAACCAGTTCACTAGATTAAAAAAAAAACAACAAAAAAACACACAACACTCATGTCAATATGGATGTGAAGGATGCTGTAGATTAAAAGACAGAATGACTTTACTGCCGACTGTTTCACCAGATGTGAGAGAGCAAACAACCGAGGTGTAGAGTGAGAAAATAAAAATTAAAATAAAAACTAAATTCCAGTTTTAGAGAAAACACCTCAGCTACTTTTTTGTTTTCCTTTTTCAGAAGCAGTAACTCAGGATCATCATCAGAGGTGAGGAGTCCAAAAACGGCGTAGTCATGTGAGACGGGCTGAGAATGACACGACGATCAGTAATTCATGTCGTTGTATCCAGAATATGAGCCTTGGTTCTGTCCTCCGAAGCCCTGATACGAGGCATATCCCTGCTGATTCCCCCAAGACGACTGGTTTCCCCCCCAACCTGCGAAAAGACACCAAACCAGAATGCATTTTTTCCTTTTTTTCTAATGTTTTTGTGTTTGTTAATACAGAACTAATGCAACAAAGTATTATTACTAAGAGTAAACTAACCTTTTTATACATCTTTTTAATAGAATAAGTGGATTTTGGATTGTTGTTTCTCCCTACTCACCATAATTATTGTTATAACCTTGTCCCCCGGTCACTGAGCTGGGGTAAGCAGTGCTGTACATAGAGTAGTCTCCTCCTGAGCCCTGGCCCTCATTCTGACTTTGGGTCAGCATCTTCTTCTTCTCGTCGCCATAGCCGTAGCTGTACGGACTTTCCTGATCGGCAGGCGGAGGCATTGTCTGGTAGCTTTCTCCCTTCGTGGCATTGCTGTCGCCGTTGTCGTTGCTGGCGCTGCTGGTGGCGGGTGGGGAGGAGAAGGTGGTGCCACTCTCGGGGTAAAAGGTGCCATAGCCGACATTGCTGGCTGAGCCACTGGAGCCGGTGTTTTTAACCATGGCTGTGTTATTCCCGTACAGTTTATCTGAAAGACAGTTGAAATAAGACCCGAGTGTCACTGCGATGTAAAATCAACAGGTTCTCTCATGATCTTAAAAGTCATGCTTTGCACTAGAACCCATTCCTACATTGCTGACATGCTCACTGAATACACACTGGACAGGCAGAACATAAGGTTTCATCACAATACCAGGAATAAATTAATTATGATGCCTCCCTCTGGAATTATCTACCACATGAACTAAGGTCTGCTGCAATTTTTTTTCACAAGCTATTTTTTTAGTATTTTTTTAGGTTCAAAGTTTGTGGAAATTATTTTAGAATCAGCATTCTTGTCATTGCTTCCTTTATGCTTGATGATATGATAAAACCTTCTAATCTGATTCTCTTTTTACTGCAACAACCTCAAGTTTCTCCTCTTACCTAATATGCCACTATTTATGCAATTCCATCTTATCTTGTGTTTTTATCATATATGTTTGATCTTTTCCTATTTTTGCTTTATATTTTGAAACAGATTCTATGCCTGCTGTATAAAACATACAACACAAATAAACTGGACTTGACTCAATCTGCAACTAACTATTTTTTATTATTGAATAATCAGATAATTATTTACTTAATTAGTTGTACACTCTAATGTCTAAAAGTAGTAAAAAAAATTGGCACATGTGAATTGTAATTACATTTAAACAGTCCAGTAGCAGAGAAATTACAGACTTAAAATATTTTCATCAGCAAAGCTAAAACCAACTGCTTTGGGGCATTGCCTTAAATGATCACTAATTATTAGATTTGTTAACGTTCTACTGCAACGTGTTTATCAAGAGGAAACTGAGGGAGTGTTACGGTAGTAAGCATGATCAGTCTGTGTTCAGTAAAAAGCAATGTCTCCCTATTTTGACACAAATGTGTTTTCTCTTTCTTTCTGACCAGTTGATAAACATTAGTGTCTACTGTTCTTACACAAATAAAACCACAATTAAAAAACTGTTTAAAAATCTATATATTTCTTAATTATTATCATTCTAGTGTCAGTTACTTTCCTTTAATGTTGGCTAAAACTCTTTGGGGAGGTGTGAAAAGTTTTTCTATGCAGGGAAAAGCCCTGGTAACACATGCACTGCATAATCATTTCCAGTTGTAGTTTTTAAGAACGCAGATGTGTTTTGACTGTAAAATAAGTAAACTTTATCCAAGATTTTTAGGACTTTAAGTATAACTGTATTGAACTAAATTAGCATTTTGTACACAGGCAAAAACAAACCAAAACCAGAACGGATCAAAACCAAAACTAGAACAAATCAAAACCACCATGACAATCTAAAGCCTGTGTGCACAGAGCTAACAGAGACATTCAGGTACTTACGATAGCCTGAGCCAGTGCTGCTCTCATAACTGTAGTTGGCTTTTAAAATAAAGGAAAGAAATGACTATTTAGTTGATTTCCTCACAGATGTAAAGTGCTTGTTGCACATCTTTAAAGGATCCTTTATTGACTTGGCCGAGATTTGGTTAGTGTAAAATTCCTTACTCTTGTTATAGCTGGGTCCTGAGGGGAACGGTTTGCCTCGGCCTCTGCCTCGGCCCCCTCTGTTGGGACCCCAGCCACGAGACCCAGAGTCTGAAGGAATGCCGCGGATGGTGCCAAATCCTGGGATGTGCTGTCAAAGAAGAAAAGACAGAAAACTTCACATGAGACAAAGTCACAATTAAAAAAAAATAAAAAATCAGTTGCACATTTTCAGGATTGCTAGCTTGATGAATTACCATGTCGGTGTAGGTGACCTTCTTCTTTGAAACATTTCTGTTGGTGTTTGACATTCCGTTGTCATCTGGGAACAACTTCTCCAGAGCAGCAAGGGCAGCGTAGGCCTTAGCTTCCTTCTTATTGGAGCCTCTTCCTTTAAACTTCTGCCCATCGACTTCCACCTGAGAGACAGGGAAGAAACAGCTAAGTGTTTACCCCTAAAATAAAATCAACAGGCTTCAGTGTCTTATCATTACTTGACACTATGACTAAAGCTCAATTTGGATGCAATTTATTTCTCAAGGGGAGATGAGGTGAGTTTTCCAGCCAAGAGATCACCTGAATCTTATCAGCTCAGTGTGAAATTCAGCTTTTGTGTAAAAATGGACGAGAACTAAATTGTTCTTGCCAGTCTGACGGAAAAGTCAATAAAAAAAAGGGAAATTTGAGAACCAATATGACAACAGAAAGAAAGAAAAAACTATCAGGAGAGCTACATGAGCTCCTAAGTGTGTTGTTGTAATATCAGCAACAAGTGTTGTGCTGTTCTTCTTTGTTCTATACATTTTACCAAATTGGTGCTGTAAAAGGATGTAATACACGTAATACCACAGATTAAATTACAATCTCTGGAACGGGTGTCTTCTTTTCTATGATTTCTAAGTAGATTCAAGTATGTTTACATGCTTTCTGTTTTGGTGGTGTGTCCGTGTCTATTACAGACCATATGCTATCATTTTGGGAAGTTTAAAATCCTGCCAAGAATGATGGATCGCAGGATTACCCAGAATAATTTATCCTCCTACCTCCCCCGTACCGGTAATCTGAGCCAAATGGGAGCTTAAGAGTCAGAAAAGTCTGAATTTTCCAAATCCTAAACACATGGCCTTTACCAGATTACACAAATGTAACAATATTTAGTACAGTTGTTGTTTCCTGTGGGATACACAGACTGCTGACTCACCTCCATGACAAAGCACTTTTCATGGGAGCCTCCCGTCTCTGCAGACAGCTCGTACTTCAGGCTGCGCCGCTTCTCATTCAGCTCCATCACAGGGTTCTTGCCATTTTTAGTCAAGATTGGACCCTGACCACTCTGTTCACAGCAAGTGGACAAACAATCGCTGATAAGTACATGAGCCTTTTTTCAAGAACACATAACTTATGTGCTTCTCCACTTCAGTGGATCTGGCTAAAAAAGGTTTCACTCCAGAGAGACCTCAGGTACGTACTTCTTCTGATGTAGTAGAACTTGTTGTAGCAGCTTTAACTGATTCCTGGCTTCCTTCAACATCACCACTGGAATCTGATTTAGATTCTGAACCTATTGGAAGACCGAGATCTTGTAGGACCTGTGAATGACAAAAAATGTAAACATTAACAGACACATGAAACAACAACAACTCTCCCTTCATTCACGCATGTATGTATGATTCAAGGAAGACGAGGCAAACTTTTTTTTAATAAATCAATACAGGAGGGTGTGCATGTAAATAAGTTTTCTATCATGCATGTAGTGGAAATTATGATGTTGATATCAGGATATCTTAAATCTGGAGTTTTACTGTTTTAATTAACCCTCTAAACATCTAAACCTGACAGCAAGATTGACAGACATATGTAAGAACATGTTTTTACATTTTAATTCTGTAAAATTACACTATTTATCAAGGCCAGAAACTATATAAATAGAGAGAGGTGGGGTTTGAAACTTTTCAGACGGCCTTTGAATTTATCACGTGACTTTCAGGTACATTGAAAAAATAAAATAAATCTAAGCCTAAAATACAAATACATTAGCAAAATCACTTTATTCTAATACGTTTTGGGGGAAAAAAACATGGTTCGCCTAAACTAGATTTTGTAAAAGAAAATCCAAAAATCCTATGCTTCACTCTGTGACTAACAGTCACCTGACCAAAGTTCTGCAACTTTTTGGATGTACTGGCCTGAACTGCAGGCTGTGTTTACATAGAGAAGACAGGAGACAAGGTAGTAAAACATCTATAGTGTGTAAAGCTACCATTTTTTCCAGTTTTGATAACAACTGTGGATGACTGGAAAAATGCTGTTTAAGTTGATTGTAGGTTTTTCAACTATTTCTTTTTCTTTCTTTTTTTTTGGACTGATTGTATAATAGTTTTGCCATAATGCATGCAAGACATTTGTGATTTTTTGTACTTCTAGCCATGGTTATGTTGTTTCCATAAGGGTGCAAGACTTTCAAAAATTTCAATCAAAGACTAGCTTACAGTGAGTAAAAAAACACCCCAAAACTTCTAGTCATACAGTATAACACTTGATGCCCAGTTGGCTCTTAAAGAAACTAGTTTTTAAACTACTAAGAAAAACAAAAGTCCACGTATGTAGATAAAAATAAAGCACACTTGCCTTGGTGGCTACATTAAGTTTGGCGGCTCGTTTTGAAGGTCCCGTTGCTTCATAAGTTTTCCCGTTTAGGTCCACAGCCATTGTAAAGACCGGCTCATGGACTGGACCAGTTTGAGACGTAAGTCGGTACTCCAGACCGGGTCTGTACTGGTTCAGACGCATCACAGCGTTCATGGTAAGATCATCGGTGACTGCAGGAAAAGAAACACATAAACAAAAGACAGAAAGAGAAACATGAGGTAACAAATAAATTAATTCATTTTTAGATTAGCCCTATGAAAATGTTTTAAAAAGTGATTTTTTGGCATTATTTTTATATTTCATTCATTTCAAAAACAACAAATACAGTTAAGAGGTGAGCGTGTCATGGCATAGTGGCTCCAGAGTTATAATTACCCTCTTTCAGACTGCAGAGATTCCTTAAGGGGCATTTGCACTGCTGACACTAAGGCTTTGTACTCATACACTATGTGACTAATGTAATATGTTGGAAGGATTTTTTTTTCAATGACACTGACCCTGTAAAACTGTGTAATGTATCTAATTTTCAACACCACAGTTATTGGAAATTTTGCAACAACACTATATTGAACCTTTGTCACGATATTGCATTAGATTTAGCTAAGTGTATAGAATAAACAAAGCCTAATTGCATATCAATACATGTTGGATTGTATGTATTTCTGCAGTCTGTATAACCATGAATATTGCTAAAAATTAAAAGTATAATACCAGTCAACAGAAAGATGCTGAATATCGTAGTCAGTAATCTGAAGATTGCTAGTGTGGATGGAGATGATTTGTCAGTTAAAAAGTTTCGCCCATACATAGGCCTCTGCTTTTCAATACTGACATGATTTCCTCTGAAAGCGCTTCTGGAACTTGAGAAACTTCCTCTGTTTGCTGTTGAGATGAGGCTCGTCCTCTTCTTTCTCTACGTCTGAGTAAGATCTCTTAGCTGGCAGGCTGAAATGTCCGGCTATTTGGGCTGAAAGAGAAACAACACAAACAAAAGCTCTGAGGAGAGAGTTTTTGAGGAAAGTGTTTAAATGACACTTAATCTGGTAAAAGAAGCAAGATTATCACCAACCTGTGCCATCTTTGCCACCAATTCCCATCAACTTCCGTGGTTTTGTAGGTTTACTGTCCATCCCCAACACCTTGTGCATCTGTCCAAATGCACACAGCCTCAAGGCAAACTAAGAAAAACATGAATGTTAGCCACTATTTAAATAATATGTGTGTATATGTGTTTGCATTTGCAGCCCCACTTTACCTGAGCGCTCTGCGTGATGTCTTCACACTGCTGAACACTCAGATATGCAGTGGCATTGACTGGATCCTTCTCACATGGATCTTTAATTCCAGGACCATCTTGACACAGATACAGTGAAATTTTAATGTCCGTTCTGATGCACCACCCTTCATGCTGGTTTGACAACTCAAGTAAGATCTCACCTTCCAAAAGGATTCCAGAGGCAACGCACTCTAAAACCCTGCGGAGGGACTCGCCTGCTCCCATTGGTCTCTCAGATGTACCGATAGCTTTCTCTACCAGCAGTTCAAGAGGCTGCATGGAGACGAGAGCACAAAGCCAAGCACTGACGATACCTATCAAGTTGCTGCTCATAACAAAAAAGGATGAGATAAGGCTGGCTTATGCACATATATCTACTTTGCTGTTATCAGAATAAGCGGACCAGCAGTTTCCTCACCCATCCCGAGAGAGGCGTCCACGTAGGAACACGGATACACAGGTCCCTCAAGATCCGGATCACGATGACGGCTGAAGTCAGGTCGTTGACTTTGGCCTGGAGACACAAAATAAATCCAGTTCAGTTAGAGGAGCTGCCGCCTCTCGTGCCACCTCCTCCCTGTGCTTTCTGAGTTTCCACCAAACGATTCAGAAAACAAAGCAAGCACAGAATGGTGAGAATTACTGAGCCGTCTCCAAGTCAACAACAACTTGATTGTTAAGGTATTTGGGGGTTTATGGTCTTTGTTGTACAGTAGGAGTTGAAATCGAGAGAGCTCAGTCGCAATTTATCTGCTCGTGTCGATACCAATGAATCATCCAGTTCTGTCATTGGTATGAATCAGCAGATCACCCCTCAACTCTCCTCTAAAACTCAAAGTTCGACATTTTAGTTAGATCATGAACTCAAGCTTAAAAAACTGAGAACAGTTTGAAAAAACTGTCACTGTCTTTAAATGAACAAAAAAAAAAAAAAACTCAGATCATTCAAGGAAACAGTTCAACCTTATGTACAAATAAGGACGTGAATGCAAACCTGGAACCACTTGGCGTGGCGGAGAGACGCCAAGGCAGTTAGGCATTTCTGCCTGTCCAGAACGTCCGGCGGATCGTTGACTGTTCGCATTTCTATTGACGAGGTGGGGTAAGAAGAAAAGGTACAGTTTGACCAAGGGGGTCGGCTCTGTCTTGCAGCTCAGGGAGTAGCAGCTTTTCCCAAACCACCAGCAGCAGGGAAAGGGGGTCCCCAAGTACCTAATGTGTAAATCTTTGGTCCCAGCAAACACAATAATCATCTGTAACAGACCCCAGCTAACTTTTTCACAGTGCGGTGTAAGTACAAGTGCTGTCAGAAAGACACAGTGGTATATACAACATTGCATAGCATGTTGTGAATGTATGAGCACTGCACTACAGTAAATACCCCTTTCCCTCAGCCCCTCGGCTTGGGTCTGCTGCTCCCCCCCTCCTCCTGAGACAGTATGTCCAGTTGGTCAAAGGTCCAGCGTTCCTAAAAAACTTGACAAACTAAAAGGCAATCAGTTGTAAAATCACAAGCATTTAGAGAAACTTCACGTCTGTCCCACACTGCAGCAAAACTGATGAGTCCCTGTCCAAAAACTGTCTTAAACACAGGCCTTACGAAAGACAAGAAACACAAAGAGCCATACCAGGCTGCTTTGGGCATGTTTTAGCTCATTTATTTTCTACACTACAAATACAATTCAACTAATCCATTCTCTGTAAGTTTGAACCTGCTGCAAGAAGATCTGTACAATGGGTAGTTGTATAAGTAAAAGGAAGGACTAGAAACTAAAAAAACAGTGCTAAAGTATGCCTACAACATGGACGCAAGACAATAGCAGTAATTATATACGTATATCACAAGGGAATATATTTAAAATTATATTTATAAGGAATGCGTAAACATTTCTAAATGTTGACATTGTAACTTTTTAAAAGTGTCCAAACCCTCAAATATAGGTTTTTATCTGAACTGCGTATTTTCTTAAAGCGTGCACTGCAAGTATGACTGGATTTAATGACAGTTGTATTCATAATAATAATAATAATAATAATAATAATAATTCTACCACTGGATAAAATTTAAAAAAATATTTATCAAAACAAAGAAGAGCCTGTTTATGACAAACACTTAAATGGTCGGATGTTTTATGTGTGATTATGCAATGCTTGATTTGATGCACCAGACTAAACACCTCCAAACAGCGTCAGCAGCACTGCACTGTACCCGACCGGGTCTGAATGATTGTAAATGATCAGTTATTGCATCATTTTATATGTGCAGCCCCAGTGTGCAGTTTAGAAAATGGACTAAAACTGCATTGAGCCTGGTATGGTTCCATATTCGGGGCTTCAGAAACTCCCTTCACACAAACTCACTGCAACTTTAGATACCTGTGTAAAAACAGACAACTCTTAACACAAAAGCTTCACAAATACTCCCCTAACCAAAACATGTTTCTAAACAGACTGATTTAATGGTTTCTACTATTTTTAAGTATTATTTTCTCTCCTCATACTTTAAATTCTCCTAAGAGAAGCCACAGAAATGTCCTTCACTGTTGATCAGTTTTGCTGCAGCTGGTTCCAAATGTACATGTTCAGCATCAAGGACATGCAATGCGCGCATTAACTTGTTATTCTTGAGAAAGCCTTCACTTTAAACATGAAAACAACAAGAATAGACAAAGTTGGGGTTTTTTTGTTTTTGTTTTTTTTTTCTGACTGAGGCATCGTCACTAACATGAGCAGAATGTATCAGCGGCTACAGAGGGGATGTAGTGCTGCAAACGGCAGTTTGGTACAAAAACGACGACAGGACTCTGGAGCGAGTGAAGAGCCAACGCTTGTTGGTTGTTCACTGGCATCGGTCTGAGACAGTCACTGTACAGGCTCCACTGAGGTTTAATGGGATGCAGATGGACAACTTACGTGGTATTTTTCGACAGCCAGGGCAGAGTTATAAATCAGTGGAGCAGTACAGTGTGTGCATACTGAGAACACACAGATCAGGCCTGTGGTAGCTGATGTTTAGTTGGAAACAAGACCAACATACGCACCTTCTTCTTCCTCTTCCTCAGCAACTTTACTCTCTTGCTCTGTTCTGACCAGAGGTGATGTCAGGTGGATAATGAGAGTCAAGGCCGACTCCTTGGTGCTTGTCACGGCAATGCCTGCATCTCCTGAACATGGGCTTACTGAATACGTCCCAGCTGAAATGGTCTGTTTAAAAAGACGAGGAAAAATGAAAAAGGTCAAAGGGGTAAAAAAAAAAAACCCAACCCAATTCCAGATCTGTGAAGAATGTTTTTATAGAAAATGCTACTAAACAGCATTAGACACTCATCTCTACCTCTAACTGTGCAATTAGCTTTTCAGCCACTTGTTTAAGTAGAGTAACTGTGGGCTTGTTAGAGCAAAGCAGCACAAGTTCCAGGTCCTTGTCTCCCTTCAGCAAGAGTCCTTTGGCCACAAGGCCAACCCTCATAACGCCACGCAGGACACGCTCTTGTGCATCACCGCTTGAAGTGGAAGGGGATTAGGAAGAAAATAATAAAAATAAGATTCAATTATTAAAATCAATCTGAACGCCATTTGATACACTTATTAAAAATACCACAGACTGTTCAGATGTTTCGCTTACCTTGCTGCCTCTGTAGTTTCTTTGTCATCATTTCGAGTATCCATCTGGTCAGACACAGACTTCAGGGCACACTCCACATGCGAGACGATTGTCTGCACCGCCTCCAGCTCCTCTGGTGAGGGGTACACTTCTGAGTGTTTGGCCATCACAAGGCGATCATATGGCCCTGTGTGAGACCGCGAGGCTGGAGACTCCTATAATGGAAAGGAAAATAAAGAAAAGTAACTTTTATATTGAATGGAAAAAAAACCCCCAACATATTGTATATAAACGCAGCTGTATTTCTAGTTCATACTGTCATGATGAAGTCAATTTGAAATGATTTTAGAATAGACGAATGCTAATATTCATTAAAACCATATAAGTCCCTAACTACTTTTCAGCTACTCTCGTATTCCAGTGAAGGACGTCACATGTCAAAAATATAGAATTGGGAAGTACAATATTAATAGTTATAGCCAGGATTAAAAAATGACTTGGAAAAAGAAACATCACGCACAGGATACAGCTTTTGTACAAGAGGAAGAACAGCCTTTTTAAAGTACAAAAGGAAATGAAACGGTGATGGAAAACAAATCATTTTGAAAAAAAAAGTAGCAAATAGCTCAGTTAGAAGAAAACTATGGATTATCAAGCCTTATTGATTTAGCAGGTAAGAAAATAACCTCATGATGACGCTGATCCTCAATCTCCTCGATTGCAGCAATGTAGTCGTGGTACTGCCTCAGCTCCTCTTCGTAGCACAGACAGTCGTACCAGTAACGCAGCTCCTCATATCTGGACAGATAGAGTGACAAATGAGAGACGCCCTGAAGACAAGCTCCAGTGTTCAAGTCAAAATAGGTGCTAGAAAATGCTCAGTTATTACTCTCCTTTAAGTCTTGACCTACCAAATATGCTTTAATATATATCCTCATTTAATTCAATAATACAGAGTAGAGCTGAAGTGGTTAGTTGCCATAACTGATGAAGTTAAGGCTAATAATGCGCCAACATCAATATTTAAATTTAGCATCACTGCGTAAACATTGCAACATGCCACCAGCCTTTTGAAATTGTGATTAAATCATGGCTTATTCAGACTCAGTTCCAAATGGCTGCTCTGCACTGTTAGTATCCAGATTTTTATAACCGAGATGTCATCTGACAAACTCAAAATACACAAGAGTAAATGGAATGGGTGTGTCCGTAAACCTGTGAATTTGAATAGATTTTCTTAAAATTTGAATCTCCTACCAAAGTCAGAGAACAAGTTCACAATAATGACAAAAGGCCTTCATTTGTCGCTTTTCTGGGCTTGTAAAATATTTACAGAACTGTTTTCCTTGTTAAGGGTTTTAATAGAAACTTGAACTACTTGAGGAATTACTCTCAATCTTTTTTTATTTACTTCCTATCACATGGGAGTTTTTAGTTTAACTCAGCTGCTAAATATCTAAATCTTTGTGTACATTTCGCTCTGAGCTGCATTATTGTTTCACTGCATTTTTATTCCTTTCAAATGTAAAGCACTTGCTGTTACATTTCATTTGTATGAAAAGTGCGCCATAAATAAATTCTGATTGATTGATTGAAAAGTATACTGTTTCCCTATAATTAAATGTGCTATATCAATGCAGCTGCCTGGCCTGATGTGTTATATTAAGAGGCTGTGGTTGACTCCGTTCATTGCTGTGTTTGTACCTGTCGAAGTCGTGCGGCAGCAGCCGGTGGCCCTGTTGGATCAGACTGTCCCAGTACAGCAGCTCTTCATACGCCTGGTGCTCGTCCCACATTGGCGGGGCCGCCATGCTGTCACGACAGAAGGTACCACATGTTTGATCAGTTCAAAATACCTTTGTTACTCTACGTATAACTGGTAGATAACAGGCAGTATAGCATCTATCACGTCAACTATAATTTCATGTGACGGAATGCGTTTTCAACATACATGTGCAGCTAACGTTAGCTCACAACGTACGTAGGAAACCTGTCTTGCAGGATGAAACAGGCAGTGTGGATGCAAATACGCAACTTGTGCATAATTCACCGTAAACTAAAATATACTCCTAGTATATCGCATACGGTTGTCCAGTAATTCCCGCTGTTCTTCGCTCCTCATAAATTAAGACCGTTAGTTAGCTAATGTTTATAGCATCGACCATTGAATCAATATTAGCGCGCTAGCTAACGTTAGCAGCCATGTCGCATTTCTGTAAATTTGCATTTGACGGGTCAAGCTGGCGCAATGGCACTAACCCCCGGTTGAATTTCTACTCTGCTGTTAGAGCTTACCTTTGTTAACGAGCGAATAAATCGGTATAGACCTTCTACGGTAACGTCGCTGCCGTTTTGATGTCAGGCGATCACGAGTCGCCACAATATGACGTCACTAGTTTTGACCATGGCGCATCATCATTAGGATGAACAATCAACATAGTGATCATACAGCAATATAAAACAAATGTATATGTATTTAATTTGTCTTAATACAGCATATTTTGTCCATTGCTTGTAAGGCACTTTGAGTTGCAATTGAACTGTTTGAAAAAGTGCAACACACATGAGGTTTGCTGATTGATGGACTGATTGATTATACCTAGTGAGAGGAATAACACCGCAGGGTTGAAAGTTTGGGAACTTTGTCAACAATGCTAAGGGAAGCAGTATTTTATTTTTTGTATAATGATGTAGTAATCAGGGTGGCAATCAGTGCAGTGTAGGAGCAGCCAAGTAGCTAATTAGGACATTTAATGGAACTGAATCTGTACGCAATATTGTCAGCGAGTTAATTACTCGTATTTATTTATGTTGCACGACTAAATTTATTCAGTTTTGCATATCTTATATGTGTGTGAGTGCAGGATTCTATAAATATCTGTAAGTACGACGAATGCAGAGTTACATTAGGCATTTCTCAAGGTGAAAATGCAACAAGTCATATCTTAAATTAACAGCCATTGAACCAAAGTGCATTACTTAATTACCTACAAAGTTTAAATATTATATTAAGAACCTGTAACATTATATAAAACACACATTTAGCCAACTAAAGACTCCAGGTAAGACCTTTCAGTATTATTGATTGTGCAAATTCACTCGATTCATGTAAATAGAAGGGTTAAGACATTACCGTAATTTATATAGCACAAATGAACCTGAGTGACCTAAATGTGAGGGTAACAAAGTGAGGTGTGGATATCACTGGCTGCTCATCAGTGGCAGATGTCAGAAAAGATTCATGAGCAGAAAAAGATGGAAAAAATGTTCCAGCTGCAGACCATGTGGATGTGGTTGGAAAGAAATTATGCTGAAGAGGAACCAGATAAAATAGGCAGCTTGAAACAGTAATGTTTCACTGCACTTCATCTTAAGTTACTCATATCAGAGCCAGACAACCTGCCCAGACACTGGCCCTCGTATTGAAGCAGTGCACCATAAATAGCAAGGTGTCGAGATAAGCTTAAATCAAACAGATTAGCTCCACACTATTCTTGATCAAACAGGTTATTATCTGCATGACCTTTGTGGATAATCCTTTTTGATTCATCATTGTCTGTTAAAATGACTCTGCAGAACATTACTGCTTCAGATCACAACATCCTCAGAGTAAATTCTTTACAGCGTAATCATGCACAACCCATAGATCTTTTGGGAAAGTTCAGAGCTCTGAGGAAAACACTGAAGTATGAAATGAGTCCTGCCAGTATTTACTCGAGTTTACACTTGAAAAACCTTTTAACTATTAGAATTAGAATAAATAATAATCTATAATAGGAGCAGAGTAGCATGTTTATGGACCACTTGCGTACCTTCCATCACAAAACAGACCCGTTTGCAAGGAAAATTACACAAAAAGACACACATTGCATTGTTTTATTTACATTCAGTTTAAATTTCTTTAGATATCCTCAGTAAACTGAGGGTACAGTTCAAGTAATAACTTATAAAATGTTACATTATTTCACATAAAGCACTATATAAACACATCAAAGCATGTATAAACTCAAACGTACACAAAGTCCACAGTATTTGAATATTAACATTCCTTAATGACGTACATTCAGCAGAATAACAATAGAAATAACCTCTAAATACTTTTGGGTTTACTCTGGAGCTCAGTTCTTCTGCCACAGTTTAATATGAGAGCAAATCACTGTGCAATTTCTACCTAGTCTTACTTTCAAAGCTGGTGAAAATGGGAACATGACACCAGAAAATAAACTCTTTAAGTATCACTCGTGCTAACCTTTGAGTCGCATGCTTATTACTGCATTACTACACTGTGGACGACAGCTTTGACTTTTGTTATGAGTTTCATAATAAAAATATAATATTAAGGAATGTTCACGTTTGTTAAGTAAACAGTAGAACATTTATGATCTCTTGTGCAAAATCATAGCATTAGCTAGCTTCCATTTTTAAGGTCAGACAATGAACTCCTCTTCGATGCTGTGTGATGGAAGAAAAAAAAAAGATTTGATCAAACCATGAAGCATTTCTGGACAGGGACCAACACAGCTGCAACATTTGTTCTTTTCTCCTGCTTCTATGCAGGTCTCCTTTTCCAAAAGTCTTTGCACACAAAGTTCTTTGTATGACCTGGTACCAATTTCATCCATTTCTCAGTTCAGACTTGGTTGACTTCGTTCTTCTCTGAGCTGGGGAAAGAGGTCGGCTCCCAGCGGCCCAGTATAGTTCCCCGCAGGCCCGCCTGGCACTTAGCGATGAGGTAGATTTTGCGGAGCACTGTGCGGCGCAGCAGGATATAGACCCAGGGGTCGAGGATCTGGTTCCACGCAGCTAGCCTCACTCCCATCACCATCAAGGTTTTATAGTTCAACAGGTTATCCCCAATGGTTCCTGTGTAGGAGTGGATCACGGACATCAGGCCAAAGATCTGCAGGCATGAAACACACATGATATATGATCAAAGAGCGGAAACATGTCAGTGAAAGTGAAAAGGCTAAAATTGCTCAAAAATGGCAACAGAAACAACAACAAACTAGATTTTTAAGTGACCCTGCCGTATTGTTTGTGGCCTGAACACAGCAGAATTGCTTTATAAGATCTAACTCAAGTTACACTTAGCTTTTTGCACAGATTAGTACCTGCTTTTCAGAACTTCTCTGCCCTCACTCTACCTCGAGGCTCTTCGATCCTCAGAACAAATGCTTTCAATTGCCCCATAAGACTCATGGGTAGCAGAAATCATGACTTTGCAGTGGCAGCTCCAAAACTTAGTAATATTCTCCTTCTGTCAATCAAATCTTCCTCCTGCATTTCTAACTTTTTAAGAACAATCTTAAGATGTGCATGTTTATACTGGTTTTGGTTTATACTTTTTAGTATCTGTATCTGTTCTATCCTGTCCTGTTTTTCTTTTTGGTGTTTTATATTTACTTTATTTTGTTTTAGACAATTGATGTACAAGTTTTTAACATGTTTCCTCTTTTGCTTATTTGCACACATTTTAGCTGTTTCCTGTTTTACAGCACATACAGCACTTTGGTTAACTCAGGCTGTTTTAGAAAATGCTACATAAAGAAACATGATTAGATTTTTCTTATATCAACAGTAGGCTCAGTGATGCTGCAAAATGTTAGTTCAAAGTGACTGCACTAAAATACACTCAATTGCTGGTACTCCTTGATTTCATTGTGGTTTCATTACAAAGTAATACCGTGACAGAATACTGATACCAATATGTTTCATTATTAAAAGCTGTAATGTGTAATCCTGTAAGGGAAAGTGGAATGTTATGTGATTACTTGCCTCTTAAACATTCATTTAATATGCATCACATATGCGTTGCATGGTAAAATACAATTATTGCACGCATCCAACAGCAGCAAGGAGGTAATGAATGCAATCAGTGCTCATGTAGGTTGAGCTGATTACTGTTTCTTTGAACACTCTGAAAGTAACACATGTGCTTTCCTAAATTATATGTACATATGTTACTTATATTACGTTATACTCAGTAATACAATTTGAGTAATGTATTCATTTTTGATGACAGAATTATAAAACCAAGTTCCCCTGAGTGCACATGTGCAGCAGCGTTACACAGGAGTAATCAGAGCAGATGTTCTGCAGAATCTCTGGTAGAGCTTTTCAAATTCAATATGTATCTTACGACTAACAAAGTTAGCCAAGTAAAAGGCATATGTCCATGCAATGATGTATCATAAGAGAGGATTCAAAAGGAAAGTTGACTGTGAGTCAGTGAATTCACTTCAATATTGTGGTTGTTTTTTGTCCTGAAGGTTGTTGCAGAGTTCACTCGACTGGTAACTTAAGAACTTCTGCTGCTATTTCTTGAGATCTAAAACGGGGCCTGTTGGCAGGTCACATGCGGGGATCCTTTCCCAGGTTCAGATAAGGGTGAGCATTTTTATGTTCTCATTAACCATGCGTATGTTGTGCAAATTAAAGTTTCTTATTATTATTTTGCAATGCATGTAATAAGCAGGGTTTTTTTTGTTGTTGTTGTATGCTATTTTCATTTCAGTCTCTCTTTTTGGTACTTTCATTCTACATTTTGACTGTATTTGATCTTTAAACACTTGTATGCTACAAGACCACCCAGGTTTTCCTCCCTGTCTGACACTATCATCTCATAATGATGCAGACTGCAGTTGTGCAATGACTTCCAGCTTTCCTCAGAAATGATGGCAGTGAATTCTTTCTACTGTGTTTGCACATTTTGGTTGTTTTAATACATACAAAAGATCTTTGCATGAACACTTCTGGTCTCTGAACCTTCATCTTCATACCTGCAGAGTTTATCACAGCATAAAATAGGTTGCTTTGGGGGTATTGACTGTCAAATGTGAAGACGGCCAGCACTAACCTGCAAGTTACTCTGTATCTCAACCCATCCGCAGGCACATATTTATTGTAAAGGTGTCCCAGTAGGTATGTTTTCATTGGATGACTTTCTTTGTTTTCATAAGTACCAACCTCACTTGTTTTGTCTTTGGTACTTTGAATGGTATTTGATTTTATTTTTTATTCTGCTGACTAGTTTTTGTTTGGAGTGCTTGACTAAGCTTTGTAATCGATTTTCTATATTTAGTTGAGTAAGCAGACATGGTTAGTTGAGTTACAGTAACTTGGTATGTTGACAGCAGTTGGACAAAATCAATACAACTAATTAGATACAGTTATATTTGAAGTACCGATAACAGTACACAAGAACCCCAAAGACTAATAATAAAGTTTACTTAACCAATTTCCTACTAGTTGGATCAACCTGTCAGATTTTACAGTGTGCTAGTATTAATACTAATCTGACTACTCTTCGTTGAACAAGTTGAACAGTGTTTGCAAGTAGATTCTTTCTTTGTGTTGCTTATACACCTGCGTTTATTGTTTATGTAAATCATTTGTTTTTTGCATTTTTAAAAATGATTTTACTATAGTTTTATTATATTTATGTCAAGCCAAGATAAAATTGAAAATGCCTTAGGAAGAAAAGAGCCTCTGTGTGTGAATGCAGAGCATCTTTAACACACTGCTAGACCAACCAACTCAGATTTCACAATCATACACCAGTACTTTTGTTGCTCATTTGACACTTGCATAAAGTGACATAACTGTAGAAAATCTAACATATTTCCACAAATCTGAGCAGTGGATATATTGCAGATCCACAATAAAGGATTAGCTCTCTTGTCAGATGACAGAAGTATGGACATTCAAGAAAAGCTGCAACATGTTTGGCCTTTCTAAATGGTGCAAAAAACTGGGGAGAGAGACTAATGTCAACTGAGCAGTCTGAACATGCTCAAAAAAAGTCTTGAGAGAGTCTAGTGAAAACACCTGTGTGAGTGAACTTGATATGTAAGAGAAAAAACATTCTACTGATAGCAGGTACAGGCTTCTAGGCTATACAAGTACTCAATCTTCTATTATTTTTATTTTATTTTATTTTATTTTATTTTATTTATTTTTTTACTATTACTCCCTATTTAACTTATAGTTTTCGTAAAAGAAATCTCATTGTGAACTGGCTGCATGCTATCCTCTCACTGTACTTTCTGATACTCACCAGCAGAGGGCTCCAGCAGATGCATGAGGAGACCATGATGCCAACCAGCTGCACCACCATCTCTATGTCATGGGACTTTGCTGAGTGATGGCAACCAGGCTGCCTCCTGAGCCGGGCCAGAACCAGTGTCAGTCCACTGATGGTGTTACACACCAGCGCCACAGCTAGTGAGGTCAGACCGAGTCCAGAGAACAGCACCACAAAAACCACGTCCACCTCCTCAGTGTCACTGAGCACGTTGATGAAACACCAGGTCCCTGGGTCCTGGTAGGTATAAGAGCCCAGCTGGAGGCAGGGCAGCAAGGCTACGCACAAAGCCAGCAGCCAGATCACAGCCAAGCAGATCTTTGTGCGTGTTTTGGTGACTAGAGATGAGTGCAGCAGTGGTTTAGTAACACCCAGACATCTCTCAGCAGCCATGGCGCAACCCATGAAGAGCGGGCAAAGGCCGAAGAACACCATGCTGCCACCCAGGAACTGGCACATGCCATCAGAGGAGTCAAAGTCTTCAGGACTCACACCTCCGGAGAGGTAGAGTCGCAGAACCAGGGCTCCAGGAATCGCATGGCCAATGAAGTCTGTGATCACCAGTGAAGTGGCAAATAGAAGGAATGTAGCTTTGGAGCGCCGGCGCTGGAGGGAGTAGGCGTTAACCAGGATGAAAAGAGCCACAATATTGGAAATGATGCCCAGTGTCATGGACAGGACGACGGCAATGATGCCGCTGGTGGTCGGCTCCACAAACGTGAAGTTTCCCTGCTGCGACAGCCCCTCAACAGCCACACTGACCTCCACCGTCCCTCCACTGTCATTAGCCAGACGAGGGAGGAACGGGGAGGCTGAGGAGTTGTAGTGGCTCAAAGCTAACATCTCTGAAGTCTGCAGGTCAAGAGGTCCATAGCGAAGGGAGGCTGCAAGAAGAAGAAGATGTGATTAATTAATCCGCTAATGTCTGGATTAAAATACAATTCTGTTGATCTACTTAGACTAAAAGAACAATTTACAGTAAAAGTTACACATACACGTACAAAATCTACGTAAAATGTGATCTCAACCCAGTTGTTGCTGTGTGAGATTGTGTCAGCGCTCTGTTGCACCATCATCAAAACACCAAATGAGTGAATTACTTTTGGAAGAATGCTTTTCATTTCTGGAGCAGAGTTCACACAGAATCTGTGACAAGGAGCACTAAAGCTGCAGGAGGCGAATGTGACGCAACACTTTACCAACAATCTCTGGTTTTCCCCGAAATGTATACCTTTCGTCTTTTAAGATCATGGTTTGAGGACTTAAGATAAAGTAAAAGATTTGAACACATATAAGCTACTCCTGCAAATTCTTTACAGATCACTGAAGATCTGACAAGACGATTGTTTAATAATTTGTCTTCTCAACCTGACTTGATGGCTGGATGCCTTTGTGTGGCGTCCAGACAGACAGGATAAATGAAAGCGTTTCAGCAACTAGAAGCCATGAAGGCATTTACTGAGACAGCTGTCAAACCTGCAGTGCTGCAAAGTGAACTCTGATGAGGAGGTCAAACACAGATCATACACAGGACTCGCAGCAAAACACCCCAAAAAAACAGGACATTTGATTAAATTATATATTAGAGTTAAGCAATGGGGTGTACTGTTTAGCATTTTTCATCACAATTATAAACACTTTAATGCCGAGAATCTCAATAGCTTGATTTGTTGCATAAACTGAGCTCACAAGGTAATTATTGGGTCAGATTCTCCCAGAATGAGGTCTGAATTTTAAAGAGCAACAGCTGTAAATCCAATGTGATGCAAATCAAGCCAAAGAAGACCCTAAACCTGGTTTTCTTTTCCATAAGAGATCCTGTTACATGAATATTGCCCATATGCAATTAGTCAAATGACTACTTTGAGGAATAATTTCCTGTGAATGTTGATTTGTAAAAGATGAGCAGAATATTCTGTAGCTTCACAGTGCACACCTTAAGATAACAGCATTAAATAATAAAAATTATGCTGATGAAATATGTATAATAAAAATTACATAAGATTAAGATTTTTCAAAGGGATTTAATCCCATTTGTAAATTTAATCTCTGGTTGGCTCATTTTATTCTTTACTAGTATGATTACACTTGAACATGTCATTCCTTGAACATTGTACTGTTATTTTACTGATTTTTCCAATTTTGTTAAATTACAGACAATAAATAGTAAAATCACCAAAAATATACCTTTATGTGTTAATGGTAAGAATAAACAAACAAATAAAAACAGGCAAAAAAAAAAAAAACACCCGCATTAAAAATCTGTATTTTTACAAATGATGATTTGTTCTTTCACGTTTTACCATAAAATTGTCATTTTTTACAGCATTTAAATTAGCAAAAAACCATCCATATTTTGCAGATGTTTGCTGGTATTTATTAGAAAACGTATGCGTGTTAACGATTGAAAATCGTAGATAATCTTTTTAAGTATTATTTCACAGGTTTTCACTGTTTTTGTCAAAATGCAGATAATATTTAGTAAAATCACAGATAAATTTGGATGTTAACTGTGAAACAACTATTAGTGATTTACATCGCCTGACTGTAAACTAGTATTTAATCCAGCTGTAAATATCACTATTTTCCAGATATTTTAAGCGTTTTCACAGTTCTTATATTAGCACCCTTTGTAAAGTTTTGCTGTTGATGTTATCTGCCACCCTCGCTGCCAGATTTGCACCGTTTTTACAAAGTAGATTTAAAATGAACAACCGACTCACCACCAGACAGCTGATCTCCTCAGTCCAGCTGAGTTTGTTTTCTTGTCTAACAAATATCCAGAGATACTCCAAAGACGACTAAACGATGTCAGCAGTCCAGAAACAGAAGGAGAAACGTCTTTTTCTTCAGATCAGAAGTCATGTTTCCCCTTTGATAAAGTCCACAGCTGCTGCGGGTGTAATGACCGTCTGTGCGGAGTTTTGTTTTTTTAAATTATTATCCGGGACTGAATCCGTGCGTCTGCTTCATGGTGCCTTTAACTGTGTCAAGGATCCCCACTGACGCTAAAATACCGACTCACGTTTTTATAGCGCCTTTTTTTTTTTTTTTTCCTTTTCTTCTCCTCCAGTGTGTCTGTGGGCGTCTCTGCTGCTCCACTGACTCAAGTTCATCCTTCAGCTGCACTTTCTGTGTCTGCAGTCTGTTTATAGGAGAGACACCTTCAGTAAGCACAGTGTCGATTCTTACTCACTTCATGTGTCACCTACATTCCAGGACATTTATCCCAAAAAGGCCTGTCTTGTCTCACAATTACCTCCCAAATAAATTATCACGATACGGTATGACATAGGACATCTGCATGACTACAACAGCAGAGTGGATAGTGCAAACATTTAGGAGATAGCATTACAAAAATAAAAATAACAATAAAAATAAGTTCAGGTGTCTGAATTCCTCTGGATGTATAAATGACAGTATTGCACAGACAAATAATATTGCAAGGATTCTCTGATTAGTAGAAAAACTGATAAAAAAGGATTAATATTGCACAGATTTGTAGAATCAATAAGCAGAAAAATGCTGATTTTGCACGCAGACTTCTGTATTGCATAGATTCTTTCATGAGTAGAAAAACTGACAGAGAAGGTTTAATATTGCATGTCCAAAATATCGATATTGCACCGATTTGTAGAATCAGCAAGTTAAAAAAAAATAAAAAAATACAGATTATGCACAGATTCTTGTATGTGGAGACAAAAGTTTTTAAATTTGCAAAATATTAATAATTCACAGCTTTGAATGTGTTGGCTTTGCACCAAGAAGAAGTATGACAGCTTTTCGTATTTAGTGAATAAGAGTTAAATGGCTGTGATGAATTTGTGGTGCAGACATTGTTTTCTCTGTTTCTTAGTACATGGATAAATGTGAACAGATAGCCTACTTTATTTTTTTTCCTAATGTGCAAGTCTGTTCTCAAAATAACCTCTGGGGTATCAGCTGTCCACACAGATCCAGTGCATTATGGATGTCCTGCATATCAGTCCTCCTGGAGGGATCTGTTTCTGAAGTAATGACGGCACAGGAGGTAGGGCAAGCTATCTAGAATGTTAAACAAAAGCATACACAGGGATGTCTTTTCGATGTTGTGCAAACTTTTAGGAAGTCTGGTAAAGCCATAGTCACCCAGATGTTCCTCAAGGACTCTCTGCTGTCGGTCCTCAGGGGTTTCTGCAGCTGCATTGAGGAAACTGTCAAATGTTCTCCCATTTGATTGACACCGAGGAGGCATTTTAGTTGCTTTTCTACATACTGGGGGCAGGTGGTTGTGTTTGTTTTAGCTTTACAAGAAGCTGGTAAGCCAGCTGGACCCAGATTCACACGAGTTGTGGTTTGGAAACTGACTAAAAGGAAACATTTCAAACTGGCTGCCGATTTGCAGGAAGCAGAGCTGCGGCAGGCACTGCCACATAAATTATCTGGAGGGAAACTTTACAGGCTGGCAAGAGTGGAGTAAGTCTCTGAATCGACCGCAGCCTTTGGATTGTAGGCGCATCAAGAAGTCTGTTAGATACGAGAACCCTGTGGAAAAAGAGGTGCAATTCAAAATGTAGAGAAAACATAAACATAAAATAAACTACTGAGCTAGAAGTTTACAGCCACGTTTGCAGGTGTGTAGTTGCACATGCAGGAACAGCAGAATGCTCATGTCAACGTGCAAACATGCTCGCAACATGTGATCTTGAGTAAATATTTAGTATGTACACAACCTTTTTTTTCATTTGTATTGTATTGAAATTTTAGTTAGTACAAACAGACAAAAACGAGAACAACAAATGTCATACATCATCTTATATTCACTGTATAGCCGACAGGTTCGTTACTCAAGTGATAGTAACGAGATATGAATAAAACACAGATAAGGAGACAAGAGAACGGCTCAGAGTTCCTTTACTTTAATCTTGCTTCTTCCTTAGATTAGTCGAGTTCACCGAAGGCTGGTGGAAATGTTAGCGCTGCACATGACAGCCGATGAAAAGTCAGAAGTTATTACGATTCACCCTGAGATCCTAAGTCTGTCTATAAGTAAGTAAGTAAGTAAGTTTAATCTGTCCAATAGTTGTTAAGACACTTAACCCAAAACTGCCTCCTCATTAGAGATAAAGCCAAAAATTGACGTATGTGCACAAAATGTAAAGAAAATTCATCCAACAATTGTAGATGCTTATATGTGAAAACATGAACTCTTAGGACACCTTGGTTGCTTGAAGTTTAAAAGTCAAGCTATGAACAACAGTCTCCACAAATTGAGTCCCCATAGTGACCTTTGTTACATGTAGTTCTTCATCTCTTTTGTTTCTCTAATGAAGGCAAAAATGGCACAAATGTCTCTATGATGCAAACATTTCTCTTTTCATAGCCACCAGAGTTCAATGACCAAAACAGAAATTTCAGCTCGCAGAAGATGTCAGCTGCTGGTCCGTTATTGTGTAACTGAAGTGTGTTGACATGTTTGTTCAGATTCGAATGAATGTGTTTTATCACCAAGTTCTACAATATTACACACAAATCAGCTGATGGAGGAAACTATAAAACAGCATCTCCTGTTTTCTGCAAGTTAAAATTACTGATTTTGACAATGAAGTCTGGTGGCTTCAAAGAATGTGTAGACGAATGTAAGAGCTTCAGTTCTCTGTTGGAAAGGGCTGTCTGGCAGCAAGAAAAAGCAGTAAAAATATACCCAATATAGTGTATAATTAAACCAATGTTTTTGTTCTAGCTGTACAGCATATACAGGTTATGTATATATATAAACTGTGATTCAAAGAAACTGAGCTCTCCCTTGTAAAATTGCCTAAAAATAGAAGAAGGCAGTCAAAGGAAGTGGGACTCATAATCTTGAATAATTAATATCTCTATAACAAATTCCAAGTTGATCCATCCATTAGCTGCAAAAAATATTTAGTAACCAAAGCCAGACTGATGAACTGAATGATGGACCATGTGTTAAAAAAAATAAAATAAAAAAGTTAAATGATCCTACTTACAAATTCCAAATACTCCAGTTTTTTTGTATTTACACGTTGCAGTAAAAATATGCATTAACAGTCAAAAACAGAAGCACTTGACTGAATTTCTGCACATTTAGCTCTGACTGGACGGTTGTTTATTTCAGCAGCCATAGAAAGATTTGATAGAACAGACAGGACAAAGAAGGAAGTGAAAGCTGAGGTAGATTGCTTGAGGTTTTATAAGCTAATATATCAGGCACATCCAAATCGGCATGTTCCAGTGTGTGCTGGTCTTAGACTAAATTATTTATGTCTGATTGTCTTCCTTTCCTTGTGCCCGTGTTCAGAGAGCAGCAACAATCCAGCGTTTGGCCACCATGTGTGTTTTTTCTGCAGCTCTTACAGGAGACCCTGCTGCCCCCATTTTCCTTGTGAATTTCTCTTACAAATGACGTCATTTGGCCTCTGCAGCCCATTGGCTCATCCAATACTAAGTCTGGGGTTTATGATTTTGAGGCTCTTTCGGCACTCTTTTACCTTCTTCTCTGTGCCAAGTGAACAAACCTGCTGACTGCACACCTAATGATCTCTGAGATGGAGGTGCCCTTCAGATTGCAAAAAGGTTAGTGTCTGCTCTGTGAAATATAATATTGAAGAAAAGGCAGTTTTTTCTG